TCCCCAGCCCAGTCCCATCCCCGGCCCCAGTCCCAGCCCCAGGCCCAGCCCCAGCCCCACCGGAGCCAGAGCTCCCTGTGCAGAAGCCTCTGCCTGGTGTGCAGGTGTCCAGGACACACCAGTCATTTGACTCCCCGTCAGAGGCAAACACACACACAAGTCCTTGCAAGCCAGGGCTGTGCTGGCATCTTCGAGAAGAGGGAGTCCTGGCCCTGACCACAGGGCTCCCTTGACAGGGGAGATGCTAACTCGGCCTCCTGTGGGGGCTATCATGGGGTGCGCTGCCTCCTTGGAGACCCCACTCCTGGGCACGGGGTTCTGCCGAGACACTGGCAGGAGGCCACCCACAGCTAAGTGGTCTCCTCGCGCAGCAGGAAGCCCCAGACCAGCCCTAAGGGAACTTCCCAAGGCTCGGCAGGTGCCTCTGCCGCCATCCCCCAGGTCTTCTCCCGGCCCCTCTCCCAAGCCTTGAGTCATGGCTGACACTTCTAGAAAAGTCTTTACTGAGTAACTGGCTGGCTGCATGAGTGGTGGGGAGTGCAGTTGCCCAGGGCCTGGAATTGGAGGGGCCTGTGGTGAAGGCTGTCCTGAAATTTTTAATCATTTTACCTCTGAACTTTTTATTGTTTTGAGGCAGAGTCTCACTCTGTTGCCCGGGCTGGAGTGCAGTGGTGCCATCTCAGCTCACTACAACCTCCACCTCCTGGGTTCAAGCAATCTTCCTGCCCCATCCTCCCAAGTAGCTGGGATTACAGGTGGGTGCCACCATGCCTGGCTAATTTTCGTATTTTTAGTAGAGGCGGGTTTTCACCATTATTGGCCAGGCTGGTCTCGGACTCCTGGCTTCAAGTGATTCTCCCACCTCGGCCTCCCGAAGTGCTGGGATTACAGGCGTGAGCCACGGCGCCCAGCTGAATTTGTGAGGTTTGATGGGATGGTGGAGTGTGCCCACGAAATAAACAGATGTGGCAGCTGCCATTTTCGAGGCCACATTTGCAGAGCCCGCGGTGCTCCAAGAGCGCTAGATCCAGCGGCTCCTCAGCTCCAGGGGGGTTCAGTGAGACAGGAGTTGAGGACAAGGGTGGCATGCCCAGGAGAGGGGTGGGGCTGTGCTTCCGTGAGAGCCAGAAATCACTCCAATCACAGAAAGGCCACTAGTGGCCTGAGTGGTTCATGCCTGTAATTCCAGCACTTTGGGAGGCTGAGGAGGGAGGATGCCTTCAAGACCAGCCTAGAAAATATAGGGAGATTCCATCTGTATACACACACAGGTGTGCACACACGCACGCACACACACACAGACACCTAGCCAGGTACGGTGGCTCTCGCCTGTAGTCCCAGCTACTCAGAGGCTGAGGTGGGAGGATCACTTGGGACCAGGAGGTCAAGGCCGCAGTAAGCCATGACAGCACCGCTGCATTCCAGCCTGGGCAATAGAGCCAGACCCCATCTCAAAACAAAAGACAAGAAAACGGCTGAGTTAGTTTTGTGTAGAGTTGTACTATTTGGAATAATGGAATCTGTGTGCATGTACCAGCTATAAAATACAAACTATGTGATCTCAGCAATTTTGCTTTTATTTGCTTTTTATTTATTTATTTGTTTATGAGACAGAGTCTTACTCTGTCACCCAGGCTGGAGTGCAATGACATGATCTCGGCTCACCACAACCTCCACCTCCTGAGTAGCTGGGATTACAGGTGTGCCACACCACACCCGGCTAATTTTTGTATTTTCAGTAGAGATGGGGTTTCACCACATTGGCCAGGATGGTCTCCATCTCCTGACCTCGTGATCCACCTGCCTTGGTTTCCCAAAGTACTGGGATTACAGGCGTGAGGCACCACGCCCGGCCAACACTTTAACATTTAACATTTTTCTTTACTTTAGAAGGACATTAAATAGCAAATAAACACCCTGGCTAACTTGGCCAGTAAAGGAAAGGAAGGCCTCCCCTGCCGGCACGTTCACGGAGCCTTTTCCTGCCTTCTGAATAAGGGGCCGGGAATTCTCGTCCTGTGGCGGCTCCCCAGATTGTGTGGCAGGCCCTGCAGATGGCAGAGGGGACTGGTGCTTCCTTGCAGAAAGCCAGGCCTGGACACCTCTTGGGAATGGCCTGGTGGGGTGACCCTCCCACACATAGCGTGGAATCCTGGCCGACTCAGCATCCATCCGCTGAGAAATCAAGGTGACCCTGTGGCTCAGGCCTCAGGGGGCGCTTGCCACACAAGAGGGCCCTTTCAAGACCCCCTGTTCAGCACTGGGGCCCCCAGGAAGGGTGTTGAGGCAGCTTCCCAGGGCTCTGTTCTTCCCTAGGAGCTGGGCCTGGGAGCTGGGGTCTTCTCATCTCCCCCCAGGCCTCTGCTGCTGCTCCTGGCCGCCGTCCACCACCCCCCCACACCGAGATGCTGAGAGCAGGATACTTGTCTGTGTGGGCTTGGGAAAGGGAGGCAGCCTGGCAGAGGGTGGGGGTCTGAGAAGCAAAGGCTGTGGCAGGGCCACTGTGCACTTCTGAAGCCTCTACTTGCTGGTATCTGGCCAGAGGCCACCCCGTCTCCTCCTGCCCTCATCAGGACAGACAGGCCTTCAGGGCTGTGCGTGGGCAGAAGGCTGGAGCCGTGGGGCAGAAGCATCCCGGCCTGGCCTCAGAGGAGGGAGGCCACAGTGAGAGTGGAGGCTGTCTGTACCAACCTCCCCAGACTTTGGCCACAGCCTCCCTTTGTCACTGGGACCTCAGCCTGACCCCGACCCACCCCGGGCTGCTCACCGAGGTGGGGACCCTGCCCACCACCAGCTCAGATGCAGTGTGTGGACTTCCCTCTCTCTGGGGCTGAGCCGGAGCCCCCTCCCCTCCACACCAGGAGGCTGGGAGAGAGCTGGAGGGCCTGGGATCTCCCTGCCCTGGTCATCAGCCCCAGCCACTGATGGTCCCTGCAGCGCCGTGGGTGGCCTGGGTTTGGAGCTCGGCACCCCACCAACCGGGAACTCTATGAAATCTCCGATTTTCTCTGAGAACTTCCCCCACACGTGCGTCGCCCTGTCAGGTGGCCGCATGTGACCAGCGGTAACAGCTCTCCGAATGTTGGCAGCAAGCACAGGAAGCCAGTCCCCAACATGCCTGCTGCCCAGAGGGCCTGTTTCACCCTCACGACACCCGACGTGGCAGGGATGGGGATGAAGAGCAGAGGCCTGGACCTCTCAGGGTCCCAGCAGGGGAGGCCTGTCTGTCACGAGTGTCTGATGAGCGTGGAGAGGAGGTGGAGCCCAGCACCGCTGCTTCTAAGGGAAGGGTGGGCAGTGCGGGGGGAGGGATTCTTCGTTGATTAAGCGCCTACCGTGTGCCAGGCCGGGGGAGGGAATTGTGTTGATTAAGCGCCTATTGAGTGCCAGGCTGGTGGAGGGGATTGTGTTGATTAAGCGCCTACTGAGTGCCAGGCTGGTGGAGGGGGATTATGTTAAGTGCCTACTGAGTGTCAGGCTAGGGGAGGGATTCTGCATTGATTAAGTGCCTACTGTGTGCAGTGCTGGGAGAGCAGTTCTGGAGTGATTAAGCACCTACTATGTGCCGCGCTGGGGAGGGTTTCTGCATTAATTAAATGCCTACTGTGTGCAGTGCTGGGAGAGGAGTTCTGGAGTGATTAAGCGCCTACTGTGTGCTGCGCTGGGGAGGGCTTCTGTGTTGATTAAGCGCCTACCACATGCCAGACTGGGGGAGGGATCCTACATTGATTAAGCACCTACTGTGTGCCGGGCTGGGGAGGGGTTCTGCATTGATTACGTGCCTACCGTGTGCTGGGCTGGGGGAGGGATTCTGCATTGATTAAGTGCCTGCCACATGCCAGGCCCTCTGTGAGTTTCACTTAATTTCTTGCCACAGCCTTGGGAGGGGGAGTGGTTAACGCTGTATTTCAGATGAGGAAACTGAGGCTCAGGTGAAGACACTTGTCCAGTCCCGTGGCTTCGGAAGGTGGGGAGGGGATGTCAGCCTGGGCTCGGGAGAGATAAGGAAGCTGAGGCTTGGAGCTTTGTGGGGCCTGGAGTGCTGTCCTCCCGCCTCCCGCCTTCATTCAGAGCAGCAGACCCTGTAGCACCTGGGGCCTCTCCTGCCACTTCCTGACCAAGGGATGGGGCCTGCACGAGACACAAGTCTGGGTGTCCGGTGGGAACGGGCAGGGCCCAGCCAGTCCTGGCACACGGTGACTCTGCCTGCCCTGTGCGGCAAGAGCCAGCCTCTCCCAAATCTCACTGTCCACCAGTGCCCACCACCCCTGCAGCCGCTGCTTCCTGCCCCCATGAAGGCGGCCTTCTCCCGGGGGCTGCTCCAGCCCTCCACCGGGGGGGGGGGCGAGTCGAGGGGCCTGGGACCCCACCTGTGTTCTTGTCTCTATCCGTCCTCGGCTGTCACCAGCTTTAATTACCCTGGCTCCATCGCCCTAGCCCCTGCGCAGCTGGAGCGCCTCTAGGCTGGGCAGGGCACCTCGCCTGGGCATGCCGAATTCCTGCATTCCTCCCCAGGGCCCGCAACCGGCCCTGCAGGCCTTGGGGTACAGGGAGCGCGGTGCGGGGGCAAGGCTGCTAGATGGGGAGCCTGGAGACAGACCGGGGGTGCCCCAGGACGCCCAGCTGTGTACCTGCATCCCCTGCCACCCTGCCTCACAGCC